CTTTTGAGAAATCAGCTGATAGCCTTATGGGAACTCCTTTGTAGGTAACTGTCTCCTTTTCTCTTGCTGCTTTCCAGATTCTCTCCTTATCTTTAATATTGGGTAACTTAATTATGATGTATCTTGGTGTGTGCTTCCTTGGGTCCAATTTCTTTGGGACTGTCTGGGCTTCCTGGACTGCCTGGATGTCTATTTCCTTTGCCAGATTGGGGAAGTTCCCCCTTACTTTTTCAAGTAAGTTTTCCATTTCTTGCTCTTCCTCTTCTCCTTCTGGTACCCTATGATTCAGATGTTTGAGCATTTAAGTTGTCCCAGAGGTTCCTAAGCCTTTCCTCATTTTTTTAAAATTCTTGTTTCTTCATTCTGTTCCAGTTGGATGTTTATTTCTTTTTGTTCCAAATCATTTGAGTCCCATTTTCCTCTCTTCATATTCCTGTATATTTTCCTTTATTTCACTTTGTACACTCTCCATTTCTTCCCTCATTTTGCAACTGAATTCAATCATTGCTGTGAGCATCCAGTGTTTTGAGCTCTGCATCAGATAGATTGTCTATCTCCTCATTGCTTAGTTCTTTTTCTGGAGTTTTGATCTGTTCTTTCATTTGGGTCATATTTCTTTGTCTCACCCACATGTTATATTATAAGGGGCAGAGTCTTAGGTATTCACCAGGGTGAGGCAACCCATGTTCCTGTGTTATGGTGCTGTATATAGGGGAGGAGTCAGAGAGGGAACAATGCCACTTGCTGAACTCTCGCCCCACTTTCAGTCACTTCCCTCTCCTTCCACAAGTGGATTGTGTCCTTTCAGGTGATGATTCCCAGGTGGGTAGGTTTGTGTACATTCTAGGACCCTGTGGATCTCTCCAAAGGACTCTCCTGTGAAACTGGGTGTTTCTCCCAGCACCGCAACCCCCAGAGGTTTTACAGCCAGAGGTTTTAAGTCTTTCATTTCCCCACGCTGGAACCCTGGGTTTCATGATCTGCCTCGCTCTCCATTTGTTCCTCCTGGCTTATCCTCGAATGAATGTGGGATGGCCCTGTCAACCAGTCCCCGCCTTCCCACACATCCACTCTGCCCTGCCTGCCCATCTCTGCCCCTCCTGCCAGTCTGGATAAATGTTTCTTTAACTCCTTAGTTATTGAACTTCCATGTAGTTTGATATTCTGGCAGTTCTGGTTTTTTCTTTTTAAATTTGTTGTTATCCTTCTTTTGGTTTTGCAAGGAAATAAAGTGTTTCTACCTACATGTCCATCTTGGCCAGAACTCAGTTTTACTAATTTTAAATGAAGCTAAAAGTACCTAACTCTAGTACTGAGTGTGCAGACATGATGTGGATGTGAAGGTGGATGGGCAGGTAGGAGGCTGCACAGGCACAAACCCTGTGTCTGAGTCTTCTTTGTGACCACAGCACAGTGGAGACACTTGAACACAAAAAGCACAAGAAGCCATTAGTGAAAAGCCCAATGTACTTCGGTATTAATGTATACACAGTGTAAGACCATAAGCATCAGAGGAAATAAGAGAATGGGGATAAAATCATGGTGGGATTAAAGTGGCCTCAGATGGTGAACTGGTTCTAACAGGATGGAAAAGAAGAGAAAAATTTTGTTCACAAAGAGAATCACGAAGCCAAGATGGAGAAAGAACAGAGCAGACCCCGAAGAACCAGGGTCCAATTCTAAAAAAGAGAAGTATAGCAGGCTACTAAGGGCTATGTTAGCCATGGCAGACCCATCTCTGGCCATGGCATATAAAACATTAATCCATAAATATTCTGAGGGCTGAGAATTGTTCTTTTGTTTTTTAAAATCCATATTTACTTCATGTCTCACAGGTTTTATTTTCTTCTCCACCCTTAGGCAAGTACATCCCACAAACAAATCTCGCAATAACACTCATTTTCAGATAACATTTAGACATCCTTAGGAGTTGACCAATGTCAATATATGTCCTACTCAAGAACTGTACAAAAGTATTGTCACTATCCACACATATATTTTAGTAAATTGTCGTTCAGAATCTGTTTGACAGAACTTCACGTAAGGTTCTCTTATTTTAATAGTTAACTAATATTGTTTAACTAGTAATTTCAGTATTGCAAATAAACCCCCAGCATACATTTTGCTCACTATATGACCCATTTGCTAGCCAACTTGCTATCTTTTTTACATCTTAAATAAAATACATTCCCCTAATCTAATTTGTTTCCTCTGCCTCTAATAATACAACAGTAATTCCATTCCTATACTTCCTGAAAAAGCAGGGACAGAAGGAATCTGTGCCACTGCAAAGACATTTTGCTTATTCAACTAACTAGACAGCTATTGAAATCACCAAGACAAACTGGCAAGAAAGCACAGTGTAAATGGCCTTATTTGATTAGAAAGTGTGAGTCTCCAAAATAACAAGAACAACATCCAAACTTAAATGGTGACATCACAATTACTGAGATGGGGATCAAAAATGAAATTCAAGCTCCTTATTCTTTGAAAAAAATTTCTCAAAACAAAAAATAACACTTGCTTGTTCAGTCTTGTCCAGCAAAATGTCAGGGGTTTCTTCGCCTTTCCTAGAAAATTTGTGCCTGGTATCCTCAGAGAGGTAGTATAAGCAAAAACAACAAAGGAGTTTTTCCCAGTTTCAATCATTTGATTTTACAACTGCTTAAACATCTCAATTCCCTGTCTCTGGGATAAAAAAAGAAAAAAACTAAATTAACTATATCTTGTTTCTTTGGTTTGTTTGCTTCTTAAGCAACTTTATGTTAGGGCTAGAAATTCAACTTTGCATTCTATTGCAAAACTTGAAATAACTTTGTTAATCTAATTATCTCAAGAAGAATACTTACTTCATGCTCAGAGAAACTTGACATAACCTTTAGTTTCTCCAAGCACACCACAGGAAAAATATGTCAACATGCATTGAATTTGTAGTTGTCTGATTAACTTCTCATGTTAACTTTTTGCCAAAATCACAGGCAACAGGCATCATTGTGAGGTTTCCATTTATTTATCCATTAGCTGGGTATTCTATTCATGCAATCAAAGCATCGTATTTTGAGGCATGATTTGAAGCCATCAATGGAACGCAATTTGGCAGCAGCAGCACACTTATGGTCAATTTCAATTCCACAGCAACCCTTACTTTTCAGGAAAGAACTACAGAACAAAAATTTTCTACGTATGTACCTCTAATAAGTTAGAAAAAGTAAACATTTGTGAAAATTCTCAGCCTTGTGGTAAACTGAAGTCTCTTAAATTTGGCGAGAAAAGAAAACATTAAGGAACATAATTTAACAATTATAATTAACATGGAAGCTTCTGAAGACAATTCAGTATGCACAGGAATGAATATATAGTAGGTTATGTTCTGGGAGTAGAACAGTAAGAAGGTAGTGGGGGAGGCTTTAATGTCAAGTATTGGGCTGGCCTAAAAGTTCATTTAATTTTTTCCCTATGATGGATCTAATAGTGCTTAGTTGTCTTTAACTTCATTCAAAACAATTTTGTATTGTGACACCTGCCATATCAGCATGCATTTTTTAAAAAACATCAAAAATGATGAACTTTTGTGCAGCCATTTTAAGACTGAAGATGGAAGAAGATAGGCAACATTTTTGGCACATTATGCTTTATTATTTCAAGAAAGGTATAAGTGCAACTGCAATGCAATAAAAGATTTATGCAATGTATGGAGAAGATGCTGTGACTGATTGAACATGTCAAAAGTGGTTTGTAAAATTTCTTGGTATTACTGACATTGTGGTGAAATAATTCTTTGCTGTGGGGTTGTCTTATGCACTGGAAGATTTTTCGCAGCACCCCTGGCCTCTACCCACTAGAAGTCAATAGTGGGAGATAGCCGACCTACTCAAAATATCCAAATCAATAAAATTACTAGTGAAAATTAAAAATGTATCTTTTCTTTTACAGAAAAAACTAAAGGGACCTTTTGGCCATCCCGGTATTTCAATAGTGCCTGTTGTCTTGTTTGTCTACAAGCATATAATACTTTTTAAATTAAAAAACAAAGAATCAATGAAGTTTTTAAAAAATGAGGCAGCTCAATTCACAGAAGACAGGACTTGGACAATGACAACATCAGGTAGAGAAGCACTGAGGTAAACAAGAAAGAAGTGCCAAGATTAGGTTCTAGGAGAGCGAGGGAAATAACCAGAACCTCCAAACTGACCGAGATAACTTTAGATTACCAGGCACACAACACCACTGTATGGAGTTCTGAAAGGAAGGATGTTCATCTCACCCCTCACTAGCCTCAAAGTTCCTGTGAGTCACTCAGCCACAGACCATAATCTGAAAGGCTTTGAGCAACCACCTAGAGTGCCACTTATAGCAGGAGCTATGCTGAGTTTTCTGCTGGCAGTGACTGAGCTCCAAAAAAACAGCACCTGCCATTGCACCAGAAAGGTAGGCATCAGGACACACCTAGTTACCTCCAAACACTTCTTTGTGAGCCCACATACAGTTCAAAGCCTCTCTCATGGCCGTCTCCTAAAAAGATATATGACAAAATCCTCCACTGCTTCCCAGCAAGTCTCAGCCTTAACGCTCTAAGGCACATGGGGAAAAAACCCTACGTTAAACCCTAAATTCCTTTTCAAACAAATCTCACAAGATATAGGAGGCACTTGTGTCCTTAGTTAAATCAGCCCAGAGAATAGCACTTGTATTCAAGATAAAACACACACACACACACTTGGAAAAAAGTTATATAAGCTATATGCCTATTTTTGCATATATACATATACAACATATAATCATATATTCGTATTTGCATATATATGCAAAAATACCATTTTAAAAAAATCAACTCATGAAAGAATGCCTGAAGAATACAATGACATGACTTTTCCATCAACTAATATCATCTTTTCATGTTTTTAAAATACTTAATTAAACAAACAATAAATCAATATACAGGAAATAATTATAAAGATCAGCCACATGGTTCTATTTACAGAAACTTAAAAGTTATCTACCTGAAAGTCATCATAAGGGAAGAGCAGCATCTCCCTTAAACAATCATTCAAGATCTGTGTCTTCTTCTGGACGATGACATTTTCATAGTCAAGTGGCTCAATCAGCTTTGGCTTTGCCTGGAAGGTAAAAGATAAGCATTTGAAACATTCTTATAGATACATGCAAATTCTTAAGATTAGAGAACTTTATATAAATTCTACTCTACATGTGTTAGTATTCTCCAGCTTTTCTACAATATACAATTTAGAGTGTGTTAGTTTTGCTACCAGGAAGAATCAGAAACAAGATATAAAAGTTGTTTTCAAAGCAAAAGAAGATACTTCATGGCATTCTGTCTACATTCAGTCATGCCTGCTCAGTTATTTAAGCACAAAGGAGGTTAGGGATTCTGGTGGAACTTGCAGGTGCAACTTGAGTCACCCCTGGCTAGATCAGTACCCACTTCAAGCCTTAGGCTCTGCCAGAGCTGCCCACTTAGGGCTCCAGCTATGATCTGACAGTGAAGACTGGATGCCCACACTGGTTCCAGCCATGTCCACCCTTTCTCTGCTCAGGGCTTAAAGCATCCACAGGGCTCACTATTTCAGATAAGACTGTGGAACACATCTCTAAGTCTCAAAATATCCCTGCCTATACTGAAATATTTACAACTTAGATTGTAAATATTTCAATAGAAAAGCCAACAAGCAGGGGGAGGAAAAAAGTACTACTTAAACCAGGAATTGTGGGTGCACCTCACAGGGGTTAGTGATGGCCATTCCTACCATACACCAAGAAGAGTAAGGAGGCAACAAGCAAATGGAGAAAGGAAAGAGATAATATGCTTTTTCAAGTTATTCCAGAAATTACTCTTCCCAGTGAAAACCTCTTACTGGGAACAGGTTTTTGCCATGGTGTTACTGATTACGTTCCCCTTCAAGGCACTAGTTGGGCTACATCAGAGATACAGATACACATTCAACTAACTATAGCACAGTATGCCAAGCGTTAAAATAGGTATGCACACGTACAGAGCAAGATTATTTTTTGAAAATATTAATTAAGAAACATCTAATATTCATAATATGAACAAGTTTTATATATATTAAAATGACAATATAAGATAGATATATATATAATACAACATCTACTATGTGGCACCTAAATTGGATGTTGTGACTGAGGCTGTTACATGTTCCCCAAATCTGTCTCTTTTCCTTCCAAATACAGCTGGACTGCATTTCCCAGCCTCCCCATGGTTAGGTGCAGTCATACGACAGTCTTCTGGCCACCGGCATGTAAGTGGAAGATTTGTAGGAATACACCTGCTGTGTCAGTCCTCCCAGTGTAATGACTCTTGACATGAAGGTGCAGCATGAGGGGCTAGCTATATTGCAATACAGAGAAATCCCAAGGTGTGTGGCCCTGGAACTACCTGGGGGCATTTGAGATAAGTTATTGCACAAACTGAGAATGCCCCCAAATCATACAGTTCTTATATGAAAGAAACCTGATTGAAGTTTTTCCAATCCTAAAAATTTATGTGATGTTACCTAATGATCTGAAGCTAGAAAAAAACTTCTAAACTGTGATTAATACAAATTTTAACTAATCATGCTACAGAAAAGATTAAATAATCTATCCTTATGATACAAAATGGCAATACAAAATTATGATCATATGAAGAGGTGATCACAGTATGAATCCAAAAAATGTGGGGAGGAAAGTATTACTGAGTTAAGAGGTTATTGATTGACATGTACTGTTTCTCCTGTATCACTGACATTTATGGTTTGAGTTAACTTTTTAAAATTCGTACTTTGTTGTGATGTCTTCTCAAATTCCAAATATTCATTTGTGTACCTTATTTTCTATTGATAACTTTGAATCATTGTTCTTAAACAAGGCACCCCCCAAAATTCTAAGTTTCATTGCTCACAAAACACAGATCTGCCCAGAAAGGGCCATAGATATCCACATATTGATCAAATTTAATGTAGTAAAGTAAAGTGATGAAAAAAGCTGAGCTGTGCAGTTATGTGCAGCTATTACCGGGCTCCACTGAGTTACTGTGGGTAAAATGCTTGGCAGAGCCTGGCAAACTGGAAACACATAATAAATACTGCTATTATTATTATTAAATGTATTGCTTGCATGACAGTGATCTTAGATTTTATCTTTTTTAGTGTCCACGTACATTAAATTTTATGAATCTGTTCACAAAAACTTTTCTGCACCCTTCAGGAACATATGAAATAAAACAGGCAACAATGGTAGGGGCATTCACAAAGAAGAAAAAACAAAAGGCCAAAGACGGAGGAAACTGTGTAAGAATATATAGAGATGACACTGGAATTCAGGAACTGAGGCCAAAATAAACATAAATAGATGCATACATTATAAACTGAATTGAGGAGTATTGATAAAGTTTGTGTCAGGAAGGACTGGAAAGAACAATAGGGGGACTCCAGGCATACAGAGAAGTACTTTAGACTCACTCCCTTTACGCAAACTCCACAAAAGCAGCAGGATCTAAGATTCTGGAGGAGAGAGGACCAAGCAGTGAACTCCAAGGAATGCTGCTCATAGAGGGTTATGTGGTAGAAGATGGAGACAGACTCAGCTGGGGAGTGTAGGAGGCCCAAGACTCACAGATGGTTTTTTAACAGAATCAAAATCTTGGTTTCCATGGAGGAGACCCACAGGCCAGGGCTGTATGATCAGAATGCTGGGGAGAAGGAGATCAACCTCAATGTACAACATGTGCACAGGTTAGCCAATGACACTGAGGCTGCACTAGTCCCCACCTACTAGAGAAAGCAGCAGGCACCACAGCAAATCTCCAGTGATCATGAGAGTCCCACAGGTGCCTAAGAGCACAATCCACATGCCTTCCCATTAGCCTTCCTTTGAGGATCTCTGAACTCCCTACAGCATTTACTGCTGTGGATCTGGCTGCTAAACAGCCATACAAATTGAAATTCCAGATTCACAGGCAATCAGAAACCAGGAAACCTTCTCTTTGCCAGGAAAATGAGATTCCTCAAGAATCCAACAGAGCTGGAACGTGTCAAATCACAAATGAGTTCAATTTTGGCCAAACACATATGAAGCTGAGAAAACAATGGGAAGGGCTAAGCAAAAAGGCTTACTGATTCTATTGCTCTTCCTTCAGACACAGCGTCCTGTGATCTTTCTAGTCATTTATTGCCTTTTTGTCTCTGATAATTTACTTTTTCCTTTTTTAAGTATATTTTATTGATTATGCTATTACAGTGGTCCCAATTTTTCTCCCCTTTATGCCCCTGCTCCCTGCACACCCCTCCTCCAGCATCCCCTCCCCCCTTAGCTCATGTCCATGGGTTGTACATACAAGTTCTTTGGCTTCTCCATTTCTATGCTGTTCTTAACCTCCCCCTGTCTATTTTGTGCCTACCAATTCTGCTTCTTATTCCTGTACCTTTTCCACCATTCTCCACCCTCTCCTTCCCCACTGATATCCCTCCATTTGATCTCTACCTCTGTGACTCTCTTCCTGTTCTAGCTGTCTGCTCAAATTGTTTTTGTTTTCATGTATTTAGGTTTAGTAGTTGATAGTTGTGAGTTTGTTGTCATTTATTGTTCATAGTTTTGATCATCTTCTTTTTCTTAGATAAGTCTCTTTAGCATTTCATAAAATAAGGGCTTGGTGATGATGAACTACTTTAACGTGACCTTATCTGGGAAGCACTTTAGCTGCCATTCCATTCTAAATAAAGCTTTGCTGGATAGAGTCATCTTGGATGTAGGTCCTTGCCTTTCATGACTTGGAATACTTCTTTCCAGTCCCTTCTTGCCTGTAAGGTTTCTTTTGAGAAGTCAGCTGATAGCCTTATGGGAACTCCTTTGTAGGTAACTGTCTCCTTTTCTCTTGCTGCTTTTAAGATTCTCTCCTCTTTCATCTTGGGTAATGTAATTATGATGTGCCTTGGTGTGTTCCTCCTTGGATCCAACTTCTTTGGGACTCTCTGAGCTTCCGGGACTTGCATGTCTATTTCCTTTGCCAGACTTGGGTAGTTTTCTTTATTATTTGTTCAAATAAGTTTGCAATTTCTTGCTCTTCTTCTTCTCCTGGCACCACTATGATTTGGATAGTGGAATGTTTAAAGTTGTCCCAGAGGTTCCTAAGCCTTTCCTCATTTTTTTTTGAATTCCTGTTTCTTCATTCTGTTCCAGTTGGATGTTTATTTCTTCCTTCTGTTTCAAATCATTGATTTGAGTCCTGGTTTCCTTCCCTTCACTGTTGGTTCCCTATGTATTTTCTTTTATTTTACTTTATATAGCCTTCACTTCTTCCTTCATTTTGTGACTGAGCTCAGTCATTTCTGTGAGCATCCTGATTACCAGTGTTTTGAACTCTGCACCTGATAGGTTAGCTATCTCCTCATCACTTAGTTCCTTTTCTGGGATTTTTATCTGTTCCTTCTTTTGGGCCATATTTCTTTGTCTTGGCACACCTTTTATGTTGTAAGGAACAGCGTGGCACTGTGGTGGGAGATAGGTTAGAGAGAGAGCAATGCTGCTTGCTTGGCTCTTGCTTCACTTTCAGTTACTTCCCCCACTACCCACAAGCAAATTGTGCCCTTTCAGGCACTAATTCCCAGGTGGGTGGGTTTGTGTACATTCTAGGACCCTGTGGTTCCCTCCAACAGAATTTCATGTAAAACTGGGAGTTTCTCCTGCCACCATAACCCCAACAGATTTTTACAGCCAGAGGTTTTGAGGCTGTCTTTTCTTGCGCTGGAACCCTGGGATGCATGGTCTATTTTGCTCCCCAGTTTTTCCTCCCAGTTTATCTGCACTCGAATGTGGGACCTGCTGGTCTGCCAGCCACCACCTTGTCACATGTCCTCTCCACTCCAGCTGCCCATCTCCACCCATGCTATCAATCTTGTTGAATGTTTCTTCTTTAACTCCTTGGTTGTCAGACTTTCAAACAGTTCAATTTTCTGGAAGTTCTGGTTGGTTTTCATTTTTAAATTGGTTGTTGTCATCCTTATTTAGGTTATGTGAGGAAGCAAAGTGTGCCTACCTGTGCCTCCATAATGGACAGAAGTACTATCTCTGATAATTTAATTAAATGTCTACACAAGCTAAA